TTTTTTAATTTTTTTTTTTTTTTCTTTGGATGTCTGGTTAGTGTGTCATACGCTAAAACATTTGGGAGGGTTTAGCTCCTTCAATAATCATCTTACTTCACTATTGAATGTTTTCTTCAGGTTTTTAATGTGAGTTGAATTGACAGTGTTGGGAGTGTTGAATGAGGTAGTGATTTAGTGAAGTTAGTTATCAATAATTTACGATTTCAGTTGATTTTTGGTCCGGCTGCTTAATCATCTTGGTTTTGACCCCTTTTCCGTCATGCAAGTTTGTACAAACCTCTTTATTTATACACTGTCGTGTGCTTAATCTTCTAATAATACAGAATAAATTGTACGATTGTAAATAAATTATGTTCACCACTAAACGGTAAGGAGGTCACGGCTCGTCATTTTGTTCTTGTCTTTCATACTTTAGCTTAAAGTCAGGATTAGGGTTAATAAGCCCCCAAACAAGACTTGCCTGTTAACATTAAGCCAGCATAATAAGAAAAATTCAGACTGTCCATACACAAGGATCACTAGGTAACTTATGTGAAATGTACAAAAAATTAGTACAATTAGATCAAATTTGTCAAAGTGACCTGCATCAAGAAGCTTTGGAGTAATATTAGAGACTGAGAGGTTGACATAACTGTGTCTGCATACTGTAAGGCAGGCATGCCAGACTCCTGGCTCAGACTCAGATTGATCTTGTGGGCTGGAGCATTGAAGGTCGTCTTTCTCTAAGGGAAGCTAAGTTTAAGTACAAATTTAATCCCTGAGATATCTTGATATAAATGCAGTTTAAGTAAATCGTAATTTTTCCACATCATGAAGAAATGTTGCTGTAGTAAATGGAAAATCTTTCAGAATGTCTGTGCAGGAGCGTAAATTGTAAGAAATGTGTCAAATTACAGGAAAAAATCCTGGTAGCACATCTAGCTTCTCCAGATGGTCCATAAAGTAAGTAAATTTTATGTTCTCTTTCACATTTTCTAAAGACATCCCATGGGTTGGATAGGAGTCTTTCCTGTGCTAATTCTGGACCTGGGCCTGATACTTGATACCTCCCATTATCATCATCATCATCATCATCATCATCATCATCATCATCATCATCATCACATAAATTACAAAAAAAGATACTTAGTTTTCTATTCAGGTTTTATTATCTTGAGAAGAAGGTGACTCGACTTCTTTAAGACTACATTGACTGGCACGAGAAAACGACAGACATTACTTAAACACAAACTCATAAATACTATTAAAGCTACACTGCTCATAGTCCTGCTTTTGTGGCTGTTTGTGAAGGTATTTACCTACTTGGAGTGAGGATTATAGGTATACAACCTATATAGATGAAAATCCCTCCGGTGGGTTCCTCTGGGAAATTCAGGATATATACATACCTTGCTTGATATAGCTCAACATGAAAGCAGAGGAAAAGTGAGATGAAAACATATAAGGCACAGACAGCACATACACTCACTTATCCTTAATCACACTAGGGAAAATGATGTTTGGAGACTGGGTGGAAAAATGGTCTGCATCAACTTGCTGTCAGTTGCCGTCTTCAAGGCAACTTTGGTGCCATTAAACTGCAATAAGATACTGCAACCTGTTTAAATGAATGGGGTGAAGGTGGCTTGAGATTTGTTTTGGATAAAATGATAAAAAGCTGCCAGAAAACCCAACCCATCTGATAAATTGCCACAATATTATAAAAGGGAAAAGTTTTGTGCATCCTGAGAAAGAAAGTACTGGAGAAATAATTCCAGAATAAGTTCCGTGGTGATGAGAAACTCCTTCACAACAACAAGCCAAGTTAACAATATCGATACCCTGATCTATCCAAATCTACCATAAAGACAAGACTGCATGAAAGTAAATACAGAGGGTTCACTGCAAGGTGCAAGCTATTCATAAGTCTCAAGAATAGAAAGGGTTGATTGGACTTTGCTAAAGGAAGAAGAAAAATATTTCTAAAACAGTCGTCGTAGTTCTGGAAAAACATTCTTTGGACAGATCGTCTGCCAGAACGACATTCTTAAATGGCCACCTCAGTCACCTGATCTTAACCCAGTTGAGCATGCATTTCACAATGAAACCTTAGAAAATTAGTATTCAACTTTGTCATTACACATGTATGAATAAATGTTTTTGCATAATAAATACACAAAATCGTAGGACTTTTCAACAGTATTTTCATGAGTTTTAGTCCCCTACCCCCATTAAAGACCTCACCTTTGATCATTACAACAAAGTCACTGAGTGATAGATAATTAAACAGAAAAGTTCCCGTTTTCTGTTTTTCAGTTTTGTTTTGTTTTAACAAAAAAGTAAAATAAAAATGTAGAACTCTGAAGTAACAAAAACCTTCCATTTTATAATTACAGGACAGTCTGGACAATGAGCTGCCAATTTTACACATTTATTTCTTACATTTTAAGCTCAAAGATTTGTTCTTTACAGTGAGACTTTTGGGATACTTGCTCTACTGTGACTGAGCCATTGATAGTCCACAGACTGGTTGTTTGTGACACTGACCCCCTGGTGACAGTAATGAGCTACAGCATGCTGTTCACAGGACCAATGTTTGAAACTGTACAGGCATGTCAATAAAGAAAATGAATATTTATTTTTTATATGTGTGGATTTATTTATTTTTTATATGTGTGGATTTATTTATTTTTTTTGATTGGTGTATTTATCAACAGTAAGTGAGTGGAAGTTGCATTTAACTGTCTTTAAAGATGTTATATTGCTCAATGAATAAATTATTGAACATTTTTTCACATATTTTCAGCAGTCTTTAGTAAACATTTAGATACTACTGTAACATTTCCCCCTAAAGGGCATGCACACAACATCCAGTTGACATTTCCAGGCTGCTGGCTGCCGTTTCCATGTGACTCAACAGGGCCTGCTTCAGTGAGCGCTGGCCTCGGGTCACATTATGACACCTTCTCCCTGTTTTGATACACAAGTTTAGAGTGTACTCACTTATCAGGCACAAGAACGCAACATGTACACTTTTGTTCCCCACCACCCCCACAGGCTCTCATCTCTATCCAGAATAATAGAGTGAGTTGAGTTTTTTTTTTTTTTTAAATGTCTCCTTGTTATCTTCCTCTGGTCACTTCATGTGTTAACTGCAGTAAAGTAGTCTTCAAACAGTCAGTGCAAATTCACTGGGAAGAAAAACAAGCTAATCTTAACAATACAAGAAGAAGAAATAGAAAAATATCCAATTTTAATTTACTAGGCAAGGTATTTTTAAAAAAGTGTTTTTAATTTTGTGTAATTACAAAATGTACTTTCCTCCTCTGTGTTTGCCTACAACTGGGTGCTGACCCAGTTGAAGCTCTCTGCTTTACGTAACACTTGTGTTTACCATACAGGAACAGAAGGGCTGCCTTTAGTGTACACAGACCACTGTCCTCTGGCCTTCCTGCAGTCTGAGTATGTCCATAAAAGAGGGCGATGACATGGTTGTTTCTCCAGGAGATTATTTATAGCATAAATGTTATTCCTATTGCGTATTGTTTTTTGGATTCAGCCACTGTTCTGCTGTGGCCGTCTTATTTGGCTTTCAGGTTCCACAGAAATAACTGAAGTTGGTTAAAGAAAGTATAAATGTCCAAAACAAAGGAGATAGAAGGAGAAAAGAGTTAAGAGAGTAAAAAAGTGATTTAGAAATCTAATAAACCCAAATTTTCCTCATAATAAAACACAGAAAATGTTCATTTACTTACAGGCTGTTTTATATTCACCTCAGCTCAAGATGAGATGACGTGAAGACAGACTTTTGCTGTAATCAACCAGCCTTTCTCAGCTAATATAGCAAAAACCTAAGAGCAACATGCAACAGGTTAACAGAAACTAAGAAAAAGTGACACTGTATGAAGTTTGATTAACCATTTAAATACTTAACATGATCTCAAAATCAAATCTTAGTTCATATTAATTTACATATACTTCCATACTTAAGGATTTGAGTTGCTTGTATTATCATGACCCACCACCAGGTGGCCCAGTAGACATAATTTAAGGAGTAAAACGTGAACAAAGACCTGGAGCTCCAGTGTGGGCTTCTTATTGTAACATAAACATACAGCCAGTATAAACTATAGAAGAAGTTAAGGGTTTAAATTAAAGTTATATACATATTGTAGGGTCACCAGTACTTTAGAAAATATATAGTTTTGAAAACAAAAAGTCATAGAAAAGAAAAGGCAGTGGGGCAAAATACTGACAAAATAACACAGTGACGTAACAACAAGTGTGCGTGATGGGGTGCTGTCCGGCTGTTTGATCTTTTGTTTGGTCCAGAAGCTGACGCTCCAATGGCACGGACCAGTTTTACCATGGATGACAGGAGATGGAACAGCCCTAGTGGGAAGGAACTGGAAAAACATCTGTGTGCATTGAGCCCTCATTCAGAGCCTCTGAAGCAGTATACCATGACTGGTTTGCTCTGAGCCAAGCTCAGACCCAGCAGGAGGGTGCCTGAGTAGTGAAAATATTTAAGGGGTGAGAAAAAATTACCTGGGTCCCCAGCATGTTTTAGATCAGAGGGGGATAGGGAGAAACAAGACACTTTTTTTTTTTAAAAAAATATGCTGATTAATAGTGCCACTGCAGATGTACAGTCAATATTACAACACTCACCACACCTGAGCCTTTAATTTCTAACTGCTTATGCATATTTTATGATGGCCTTGCATGAAATATTGATTCAGAAACACTGGATTTTTTTTCTGCCAGGCATACATTATTGTAAAATAAATAAGAAATAAGCAGTTTTATTAAATAATTTAAAGTTGCACACCCTGTGATTACAGAGTTGATATATTTATTTTTGTAAATTTTAAGGATTAAATTTAAATGTGTCAGTGTTCGTCAGTATCTACCGGGTGGCTAAGCAACAATTGTTAATACAAGCTTTCAGGAGTATTTCACATACAAACTGAACGGGAGTTATATCATAGACTGTACCTAAAAGCTGGACGCAGTGTGTACACTAAAGCCAGATGATATCAAACCTCTTCTGGCATTAGTATCAGCACAAAAACTTTGTATCTGGAGGCTTCATGGCAATGCTTTCCATGGCACTATTCACATGGTATGTGCCAATATTCTGTGAATAGGCAACAGGTCTTAAAAGATGTAATCCACCTCTTACCTGTAGGAGCTGACAACCGTGTAATGGAATCATTTTGGATGTGAAAAATGAGCCCTGTTCTATTATTTAATGAGTCCTCGATGCGTTACGCTGCTGTTATCGTTTCTGTCTCAACACACTTGATCAGCCTCTGCTTCAGGTGAGCTGATTCCAACACCTGCCTTGTTTTTATTAACTAAAACAAAAAAAGTATGAGGGCTGCAAGGTCACCTCAAGGTGTTTGCTGCCTGCTTACTGTGATGGACAGATAGAAACCAAAACCTTCATTAAATCTTTAGGATGTCTGGCCTGGTGGTGGTGTGTGTATGTGTTTGTATGTATGTGTGGTCAAGTAACAACACAAGTAAGAGGTGCATTAGATAATCTGGATCTTTGGTCTGTTGGGAAGAGCCGTAAAGACACACACACACACTCACACAATCAGCCATATCACCTGTATGTTAATAAAAACGTAAGTGTCGCAGCTTCTGAGGATAACAGCCTGACCAAGATCACCTTTGGTTTCCAGAATTTGCTTGACTTATCTATGAACTCACCTGTTGAGCAGCTCACAGTCGCCATAGTGACAGGACTGGATACCTGAGTTGGGTGCTTGGCGGGCATCCAAGGCAAAGGAGAGTCAGCCAGCTGAGGAGGTCGGGATCTGTAAGTGCTGCAGAGGACGGAGAGTCAGACACGTCCTATTTTTCATCATGCCGAGAAAAAGTGATGCAGCTAAAATGGAAGAAGGTAAGTTAATGGCTGCAGGACTGGAGGATTAATTTAGTTTCATTGGTAATTGAAGAAAGTGCAGACAGGTTTACCTATTCAAGGACGATTCAAGCCTTTTTACTTTTGGTCTAGGGCCTAACATGTTGGCTTTCTTCTTTAATGTTCAAATTAATCCACTAACTTGTGGCCTCATCCTGATCCTGATGTAATTTGGCTGCTTTCTCTTTTTGGACCAAAGCAACACTCCCAGTGTAAGAGTTAATTGTGTAATTGTAGCTAAAAACCTGCACGACTTTAAACACTCTCAAAGCTGGCGAAGGATGCTTTATAGCTCAGGATGTTCTCTCTTGTTGCTCTTGTCCTGATGCACACAGGGCAAAATAAAAATTTTTTTAAAAATGGCAGTATCTTTTTGTGGGACAACATGAAACTAGTATGTTACTAATTATGAAATTATATTTCTATCTTTAAAACCCACCCCACTAATTTTACAGGTTAGGGTTGTGTTCCTTCCTTAAGTTCAACTTCACATTTACTTTCACCACTTCTGCATCCCAGGGAAGGAATTAGTCTTGGTCTGCTCACCCAAGACACATCCAACAGTGCACAACATGATACAAAATACAAGTGCATGTAACAGATCAGTGCAGTGTAACAATACCTGTCTCTAAAGTGCTCTATAGTGCAGTGAGGTGCAGTCCAGACTAATGAATGGGGCAAGAGGCTCAGTTAATATTGCAAATACATGATGTGTTTGCACGTGTGTGTGTGTGTGTGTGTGTGTAAGTTTTCCCTGCGTAATATATTCAGAATCTTTCTTGTCTACATGCTCTCAGCTATCTCATGTCTTGCAGTAGTTTTACTTCCTCTTTGTGATTGTCTGCTGTGCCCTGACTGTCTTCACCTGTCCTCCTCCCTGCTGTGTCTCTTCATCTAAAGAGTTCCCAGTGTTTCTATAGTCAGTTTATTTCTTGCCCTTTTCACGTTGTGTACTTGCACGAGAGTTAGTTTCCCGAGCCAGTGTTGCACAACACTTCTTGTATTTTCAGGTTTTTTGCATCTTGCATTTGTTTTTTGTCTCTCTGAGCTTCATTCCACAGCTCAAAGACTTGTTTGTGAAGTATGTCTGTAATTATAGAGGTGTACACATGGGAGTGTGTGGTTGGCAGTCTTTCTGTGTTGGCCGGTATTAGTGATCTGTTGAGGGTGTACTCTGCCTCTTAACCAAAGTCATCTGGTATAAGTTCCAGTGATCTTCCACTGGTTATTTAAAAAAATCACCCAAAAACATTCAACTGATTCATGAAATAAAAGCCAGAAAATTCAATCTTTAAAAAAGTATTGATTGAATTAACTGAACCTCTGACAAATAAAAAAACATTTAAATATTAATTTGTTTTTGTGTTAAATTGGGTAATCTATTGAGTAATTTATTTAGGTTTTTGGGAAAACAATTACACTCATAATGTGAACATCTCAAAAACTCCCAAAAACCTGTGTAATAAATATGATACAGTTGGCATCACACGGGTTGAAAACCTTCTGCAACTTGAAATCTTGATTTCTTGAGCAGTAATGACCCCCAGGTTAAGTTAATAAAGTTTTATGTACTTTTGTTTTTAATCATCACATGTGGCCTGGAGTCCTTTTTGTCTTGAGAACCACATAGGCAGTCTGAATGCATTTTAAACACATCATCTTATATCAAGAAGCCAGTTGATACTAAAATATCCTGCAGGCAAAGAGTCTGTAAATGATATCTGCTGCTCTGGGGAAGGCAGCTGATATGGTTTAAGCTGAGGTGATTACTTGATTGTGTTGTTTTCTTTTTGATTGTGTGTCTTTGTGTTCTTCCTCAGTTGGCATTGAGATAGACGGAGATTTAAGTGAAAGTGACGGTGAGTGAATAAAACTGCATTTCACTGAACTTCTTTATAACAACGATGAAAAGTTGAGAGTCTAATTAAATGCTCAGAATATCAATCATGCGGTTTACACAGATGGTGGCACTCAGAGGAGAGCGAACAGGAGGCAGGCGGGAGGAAGAGGAGGCGTAAAGGGACGAGGACGAGGCAAAAAACCGGCCAGTGATGATGATGATGAGGACGATGAGGAGGAAGACGAAGCTCCCAGGGGGCGCAGAGGAGCAAACAGGAAGAAGCCGGCCAAGAAACGTGGTGGCAATGATGATGAGGATGAGAGCGAGGATGAGCCTCCCAAGAAGAAGAGAGGAGGAGCAGCCAATAAGAAGAGAGGAGGCAAAGCCCAGGACAGTGATGAGGAGGACAGTGATGTGGGGAAAGGAAAGAAGGGAAAGAAGGGAGGAGGGAAGAAAGGAAAGAAGGAGGAAGAAGAGGAGACCAAGGGTAAGAAGGGTAATGGCAAAGGGAAAGGGAAGGACAAGGGCAAAGACAAAGATGATGACAAGGACAAGAAGAAGAAAAAGAAAAAGGGTGACAGGTAGGTCAGAGGAAGTCATCGTACCCTCGTGATGAATCTTTAAGATTCTCTGAAGACTCCTCTGAATTCCCTAATAGTCGTTTATGTAGGATTTGACTCCGTCGGCCCTTTCCTCCCCAGTTCATCAGATTCCAACTCTAACTCGAGTGAGGAAGAGGAGTCCATGTCAGAGGGAGAGATGGCTCGGCTGATGGAGGAGGTGGAGGAGAAGAAGAAACTCATCGCCAACATCAGGAATAAGCCTTGGAGGATGCAGCGGAGGCTCAAACTCCTAAAGTAATCTCCTTCTTTCTCATGTTACTCATATTTTAACATGAAACTTATCTTGGACTAAAATATTTGTATTTTAAAAATGGTTTATTGCATTCTAATTAAATTTTTTTTTTCCCATTTCTTCACAGGGAAGCTCAAGAATTTGTGGATAAGTTTGAAGGCGCTTTGGGGAAAGGGAAAGGCCGAAAGTGGTATGCCTACAAAGTGATGATGACAAAGGTTAGGCACAATATTTAGATTTTATCCTTGTGTTTGCTTGTGCTCTGCTTCTCTAATTTGCTGTCTTGTTTTGTTTTTTAAATCTAAGAAATGGATCAAGTTTCAGAGGGATTTTGAAAATTTCAGAACAGCGTGCATCCCATGGGAGAGGAAGATCAAGGAGGTGGAAAGTAAGTTTATTGTTTACAGCTCATCTGTGTTTAGCAGCAATGGAAAACTCCTTCTGGGCGGATGCAAAAACTAAAAATGTTCTCACTGTCCCCAGGCCACTTTGGGTCATCCGTTGCATCTTACTTTATTTTCCTGCGATGGATGTACGGCATGAACCTTGTGCTTTTTGGCTTCACCTTTGGACTTGTGGTCATCCCTGAGGTGACATCATGTTGTCCTCTTACCCAGAAAAATACGTAAATGTAAACACTGTACCGTTGATGGTCAGATGTTGATGGTTGTTGAAGGCAACAAATATGGCTTTGTTTAATCCAATGGGATTGATTGACAGCTAATTTTGTAATTAAATGGTTGTGTAAAGACACCAACCTAATGTAGTCTCCACCTACACAGACAGGAATTACCAAATACCCATTTTTCACTATATAAACAACACTTTGAAGCCATTTACCTTTACCTCCATATAAATTCTCGTTTACTTCAATTGACAAACTTCACGTGGGACAAACATCTCCTTATGCATTATAAATCCAAGCTGCTGCTGTGGTTCGGTCAGCTCCTGGGTCAGTTAGTTCATTAAGATAAGAACCGGACTTCAGAGGTAGCAGTTGGGAGATGGAGTTGATCTCACGCCCCCCCTTCTCCTCTCGATTCTTTTTTTTAATCGATAAAAGGACAATATAAAAGCTTTCTTGCACATAAATTTACCATTGTTAGGAATGTCACACTGATCATCCACACATTTTGAAAGCATGTCCAGTTTTCAGGACAGTGAAGACAAAACCTTTCTGTTATTAAACTCTCATTTAAGAACATTTAAGAACTATTAATTGTTAAAACTGGGATTTGTCACCGTGTTGCCAGGAAGAACTTGCTGGGTGATATTTGAAATTTGCACAAATTCATTGTTTTATGTTGTCTCCAGGTCCTGATGGGTCTTCCCTATGGGTCTATTCCCAGGAAGACTGTACCCAGAGCAGAGCAGGATACTGCTCAAGACTACTCTGTCCTCATGGACTTCAATGTGAGTTTAGCACAAAGTGAATTATTTTCTTTTTCTTTTTCTTTTTCTTTTTCTTTTTCTTTTTCTTTTTCTTTTTCTTTTTCTGTCCCATTTGGTTCTTTAGCCATCAGAATTGTTGTCTGAAGACCAACAAGGATACCCAATGGATTTACTTCGCCAGATGGATCATCACGGCCTTGCCTTATTTGTCCATTTGATCGACCTTTGTTGTTATTGTTTATTTTATTTTATTTTCAGTTGTTACAGACTGGGCATACATGACTGAGGGATAGGAAAGGGAGAAAGAAAGATGAAGGAAAAGAAAAACAGAAGGGAAGAGGGACAGTGAGAAAGGGCACTTAAAAAAAGAAAGAAGAGAAAAAAATCTCCTGGATCACCTGTTGAGAGAAAAAGAAGAGAAAACAAGCAAAAAAAACCAGAGCAACATACTAAACACAACACCATCACGTAAATCTAGCTAAGTGTAAACAGCAGTAAATACTAAATATTGAATGTTGTTGTGTAGCACGCAGGACCGACAGCGCACAATGTGCTTGGAAATAGCAGCCAATAAAGGTGTAGTTCATGTCTATGAACAGTGAACACCCGTGTGCACACCTGTGTGGATCAGCGCGCTTGTATTCAAATGGTTTCCCCATGTAATGGTCTGCTAGAGGATGTAGAGAGCCATAGCCCCGTCCCCCAGGGCATGAAGCAGGCATGGAGGAGATCCAGGCCCCAGACATCCAGAGGCCCCAGAGGCCCCAGAGTGCGAGGACCCAAGGAGGAAATATGAAGTCCACTCTTTTTTAAAATATTTAATAAAGTCTTCATCTTTGAGCAGCGATGTATTGAATCTCCAGTTTTTACTTGGTGTAGCGTTCTTCTCATGTATTAGTGTTAAAGATACAGGAGCATGATCGCTGACAACTATAGGGTGAATCTCAGTGTCTGAAATATCACTCAGCAGTGAGCTGCTGACTAGGAAATAATCCAGACGAGAGTAGAAGTGATGGACATGTGAGAAGAAAGTATATTCCTTACTGTTGGGGTGAAGGGAGCGCCATGCATCGCAAAGGCCATAGTCGCTGATATACTGTTTGATTACATTTGTGGACTGCCAATTACGCCGAGTTCCTGTTGTGTTGAGCCTATCCATTTCTTCATTTAGTCCAAGGTTGAGGATGCCTCCAAGAATAAGTGTGCAATCAAGGTGTTCAGAGAGTGCACTGAGAAATCCGTGGGAGAATGAGGGTCAACATCAACATTTGGACCATATATACTTACAATACATAGCTTTTTGTTAAATACTGATAATTTAATAATAAGGAATAATAATTAGAAATCTGCCCTCTGGATCTATAACTGTATCCAGTACTGTAAAATTAACATTTTTATGTATTAAAATTGCTACTCCCCTTTGTCTAGAATTATAACAAGCTGCGAACACAT